GATGGGGGGTCTCTGTGTGTGTGTGTGTGTGTTTTGACATGTCTGCATGCATACTTATAGGAGTGAAATTTAACTCTACACTGTACATATTTAGTGCGGCCTGACCAATTTATGAGTTGGATGATAATATCGGCCGATATGAGCCTCTCACAGACATCACTGGTATATTTTTCCACTGACACTTGTCAACAACACTTGTTGAATGAACAATGCAGAAAATATTATATGTGTAAAAATCTGGTTATTTGGTTGTATTTGGGTTAAATGTTTTTAGTCATCAAGTCTCACTTATATCTTTTCATCAGAAAGGTTTGATAATGACCTCTTAGGAATCATTACTAAATAATTTTTCCTTGGATATTGGATATGCTTTACTTCTTATATTATAAATCTCAGTTGCTCCCTGTTTCCTTATGTGCCAGGCACATCCTTTCACCATCATACCAAATACGGCCACGAGTTAGATCAATGTTAATTAAATCAAAATCAGACTAAAGTGTAATATGTTACCATATCATTGCCAGTAGAGGTGCAGTAGAATGCTTATGAGGATGCGGGTCTCTAAATTGGAGAAAATAATTCTTTCGGGTGAGTTACGGGCGGATGAGTCAAGCATACGTGCGAATTAGGATGTCGTCAGAGCTGATTGGTGCATCTCTAATCCATAATCCATACTTATTCCAACAATATTGCACCGACCTCATGTATATAAGTAACCTTTATGTTAATGATCCATATTTGTTTGTTAGAGCATCTTTGCACTCTGCACCACTGCACCATTGTTCTCTGGTCACAATTCCACCATATCCACATAGCAGTTAAATATTTTTGTCCACCCTTGCACATCTTGTTTCCCGTCACACAGTCAAATGGTTTGTAGATGGGCATGCATTTAACGTTAACACGTTGTCCACTCAATGGGAAGTAGTTTTTCCGTTTGAATAGAGAAAATGAATTAAGTACATACCTCATCATTTTGCTAATTTCTTTGCCGATGTAATATTATTACATTATTACTCCTGGCATCACCAACTTCAGACAAAGTCCTCAACACTAGTTTGAATGTGTCTAATAAATGTCCTTGTCATTCAAACTATTTATCATTGGAGGCAAAGACTGCAAACAATCCTGTGAACCTACTGTTTAATGCCGTCTCAACTTCCTGCAGTTAGCCTGAAAGTCCGAAGTATCTAAAGTTGGTCCAGTCTAAACTGAAAAGTCAGGAGGTCTGGACCCAACAAGGTAGGTGTGAAACAGCCATGAGTCAAATAAAACTTCTGCTAATTCAAAGAACATTTAATTTAGAAAAGTTAAAATGTGCAGCTCAGGATATATCCCTAGGAACACTGTCAGAATGACTGTGGTAAAGCTCAGTTAATGGTGGCATAGCTGATTGATACTAGAGGGATCAGTGATGCAGCGCTGCCAAAGGAGAAGAGCTACAATGGTTAGAAGTTTGTCCCCAAGGTCATATTCTGTTACTGTAATATTGACCTTCCTGTTCGCTCCTGACATTCTGTCCAAATCACATCCTGTTATCATACAGCCATTTAGAACTCTGTCTTCCCTTTCATCTCGTGCATCCTCTCCCACATTTGGCCCCTGTAGAAAGTTAACAATAAAAAAAGAAATACTGACTACAAAAGTCACTGAACTGAACATTTTATACTTGGAAAACAAATCAAAAAAGTCATTATACCCATAGATTTACAAATTAGACACAATAATGTGGAGGTGTTCAGCTGGGTCCTTGGAGTCTTACTTTTACATATAATCAGCGTTTTCCGGTTCATGTGAACAAATTTAAAACCAACGGAATTCTCGAGTTTCTGATTAAGGAACCTTTGCATTGAGTAATGAAGCAGCTAATGCTTGTTTGTGAATGAAAAAAACAGGACTGATACCATGGAATATCTCAGGAACATCAGAACAGCACCACTTTTGCAGGACACCATTTCAAGTTTTTTTTTTTAACAGGAAACAAAATGGGTGAATAAAATGGTTTAAAAGTCCAGCTGACATTTAGTGAAAGGTCCTCTTAGCTCTTGAGTGTCTTACACACCAGACACTGGATATTTATGAATTGATTCAGCAGTGTCAGTCAGTCCCACACTTTGCCAGGGGCACTAATCCATGTGATGGAATTCATATGTCTACTTCATATTAAGTTTCCTGTGTTGCTTATTGACCTTTTCATCTAGCATTTTCCCTCAGTGATGTGAGCTGGCCCTTTCACAGAAGCTGTCTGGGGCCATTATTTCGCCGGTTTTCTATTCTGCTTCGGGTGAGAACACTTAACACACTGCTTCCCTAGGAGGTGACTGGGAACGGGGGGGGACTTCAATATGAACAGAGCCTGGCGGTCGGAGGTGTTGCGTGCATGCACTCACACCTTCCTTGATGACTGAATGCAACAAACATCTGTTAATTGCTATTTTGTGTCTTCAGTCTGTGTTCATGCTTGATGTATTTTTATCATAATTTTCTACAGGTTTCACTTTCAGTGATGGGGAGCCACAATAATATTCAGATTCTTTTTTTTTTTTTTAATTAAGCAGCATCTCAGATGATGGAGGTGGGAGGTGCCCAGCAGGGTTATAATTCCTGGTTTCACTATTGTCTCATAGCAGGTACATGTCACATCATGTTTGTATCACACACTGTGCGTGCAGCCTCAGCAGCTGACACTGTGTGACATTCGTTCTTAGAAAACCCACAATGCAGTTTGCAGTTGATGCAGGCTTAAGGATGGCTCTCTTTCAGACAGGGACAAATCTCAATAGATGCACATTTGCATAGAGTGCCACATAAAGCTCTTATCACTGTGGCACATTCATAGTGCCATACATTGTGATTTAGGCATGTGATGTTGTTTGCCATGATTGCACGTTTCTCGCTCTGTGCCATGAAAAGTGATTCTCTTATATTCTTTTAAAACACCCACTCAGGTACCGCGGCCATAGATACCCTCTGTGTTTCTGTTTTTCTTTTTTGTCAGTGGCATTAAATCAAAGTCGTCACGAATGACTGCTCCCGATGTGAGACTCACATTCAAATATCCACCCTCATGTCTCTTTTAGGTAACCACACACACACTTACACTCCCTTTCACGCAATCAAAGACACACAATCATGCACACACATATTTCAATTTGCCGGTCCTTCTTGAAAACTGCCGCAAATGAAAGGAGGACCCTTGTCCTTTAACAATGGAATATGATGAATACCTTCTCTTCTTCATGTTGAAAAGATCTCCTCTCTGTTTGCCCATTTAGCCAGCTCAATGCAGAGCAGTGTGTGATTAAATCCCATTAGCACAGTTATGTGGATCAAGGACCTTCATTAAAATGCAGAAATATGATTTTTCCATCCAGTGTTACTCTGACTCAATTTGCAAATGCACCTGCTGTATGTATTAAAACAACACCCATTTATAACATTTTCAATGATTATTACATTTGTTTCTGTTGCCGACTGATGCATGTGGTCAAATGCAATGCGTGTGTAAAGTGATGTCAGCTTATGTTTTGTTTTTGTTATTTAGCTCAGTTTATATCGACCACCAGTCTTCCATACCATTAAAAATGTAGACACACACGTTCTGTGAGACTGTGATTGAAGGTGTTTGACATGGTAGCAGGAGACAGGCAGTTTGCTGGAAGGAACACAGTAGGTTGAAAGAAAACTCACACCATCAGGCCAAATGAGACTGCGCTGCAGGTAGCTGCTGCCTTCCTAGAAACTTTTTTTAAGAGAGTACCTCTGCAATCTTTTTAATTAATATCTGCCTTGAGGCGATTAGTTGGAAACAGAAAAAAAGCTTTGGTGCATACCAGTGGTCTGCATATCCAGCATGGGGTAAAACACTGTGGTCAAAATGAAAATTAATTTGGTCTTTTCTGCTTCAAATAATGAATAATTCCAGGAATAATTTATCTTGATGTATTTGAATTAGTTCCTTTTGGCAAATCATTTTTTTGTACACTTAAATTCTGAAATTACCATCTCGTTTATTTTTATAAATCCAGGTGTATAAAGAAAAAGTATTATTTCCTTCTTAAAATGATATTGACCCTTGTCAGCACCAATATCCACTGGTGAGTTATGGTTGTAGATTTTAGTCCCGAATGAGTTTCTAAATAGACGGCAGTGTGGAAAATTAGTAACTTTAATCCTCTTACAGCGTTCTGACTGACACAAAGCATACAGCCATTTTACTTTTACTATCCAACAGTGATGATGGACCAGTTTCCTGAGATGAATGTAATGGTGTATCACTAGTTTCCATAGTCGGTCATTTAGTATCAGAAACCACTGTAAAAGGACATTAAAAACCCATTCCAAAGCACTGACACTTTTAACAGCAGCCAGCTCTAAAAAGTGTGTTTTCTGTTCTTCTCGAGGAACCAAGCATCACGAGGGAGGTCACATCTGCTGCCGTCAGTGTATGTTCCACTCTGATCATCAAACGCCTTTAATACCCACAAACTGCAAACTAAACAAACCAGCTGAAGGGTGGAGTGCAACCTCCTATCTGAGGAAAATGTGTACACATCATTTCAAGCGCCAATTTATTCGCCTCTGAGCAAAAGAGAAAAAGAAAAAAAAAACAGCAAAAGGGGAAATCCTTTGTGTAGCAGAAATGTGAACTAATGTGATGAATGAAGAAACATCTGCCCGAAGCAAAATGCGAAGTCGGTGTATGCTTGAGTGCGAGGCGCTTGCATATGTGCATACGTTTAACACCAAGGAAGGTGATTTGTATCTTTTCTGAGCTGGCACTGTAAAGGTTAACAACGCGCTCCTGTTTGAAGAAGGTAAAATTGGCCATGCAGATGCTTCAGAGAACAATCAGGGGTGCGAGGGTATCGCTTGGGATATGAGAAATTAAATCAAGTCCACGACCAACTATTCCTTCACCAACTCACACAAGGACAAGAGCAAACAGTATTAGTAATTGCTTTTTTATTTGATCTTTTCGTCTTTTTTTTTTTTCCAGATAGATCACAATGAACACAGCCTTTAGACAATAGCAGTTGAAGTAATCCATACAAATGAATGTCCCTGGTCTTTTCACCAGTTGCCTGTTGCAGCGTGGAGCCCTAAGCTATCAGTGTGGGCTTGAGGGTGGGGTGGGGTAGGGGGGCAACACTGACAAACATTGGGTGCTTGTTTTAACTAACCAAAATGGCATGTCATCTCTGCGTGTGTGTGTGAAGCAGTGGCTGTCTGAGTCTGTGTGCACCTGCATCAGCATGAGTCAGAGCCCCGAGGCGGTCAGCCACGTCCAACGAGGCCTCGTACTAATCACTCGGCAAAACCAACAGTCTCAAGTGGGCAAAAATAACCCACTCTAGATTTGCGGAATCCACTGCCAACGGTATATGATGTCAACAGTGTTTAATTAGACAGCAATGAGAGGCCTTGCGTTATGTTCAATCTTCTACTATGCGTTGACCTCAGCAGCAGCCTCTGCTCTATTACACTGCAAATAGCCTGAGAGGTGGGGAGGGGGGGGGAGGGGGGTGCCATGGCTTTAAAGAACACCTTCCATCCAATGGACCCAGCTCGTTTCCTGCCCACGGTTTGTGAGTGCATACGGAGCGTGGCTGGGCCAGCAGAACAGCATCAGAGGGGACAGCACTCACAACACGTCTCGGCCGTGACAGTGACTGTTCGTGGCAGCTTGAATCTGTGCGAATGACGGGATCCCGGGTTGACCCCTGCACTTTGTTTTAGGTCAAGACTAAATAAAAGAGAGAGACCACAGCGATAGAGCCCTAATGTGAGCTGGAGTCAGATCGGAAGTACACGGGTGACAGTAAATGGATAAATAAGCAAGGAGTTGTTGCGTCAGATGATGGAGTGACATGCGAATCAAGCACATACACATGACTGAGCACAATGAGAGACAAAGACAAGTGTGGAAGCGTCACATTTGTCTGGGTTGACCTTTGCCCTTTCTTCCAGCCTTCACTTTACCTTTAAGAGGTTATGGTGTGGTTTGAATAAAAGGCAGTGGTGTTTTTGTGTAGATCACAGTAGCAGTGCGAACTTTAAATATAACATTTGAACTGTTTTTATATTTGGTATTTTGCGAATGTCAAGCATGTTTGAGTTATCCAGACACTTGAGCAAGATTACAAAGACAAAAAAAGCGAATTTAAAAATAAACTAATATTTTCCTCCACCGTCAATTCCTCCAAGCCGTCTTCTAAAAACAGCCTCCGCCACCTCTCAGGTAAAGGGGTAAACTGAAACCTTTTTTTTTTCCAGAAAGAAGAGCAGAGAAAAGGCAACAGTTACTTTGCTCCTCAGAGAAGAGAAAGCAGACAGCTGAGTAGCAAAATAATAATGATGTGAAAAAAAGACAAGTAGGCAACAGCAGAATGACAGAATGACAGGAGAAATGTCCAAGCATGTATCTTACCTAAGGAAAAACTGCAAGAACGCAAATACCAAAACACACAAGCTGTGACATGTCTCCAGGATATAATGTGTTTTATCAGCTGTCAAGATTCCAACTCCGCTCAGATCCACTTATACAGTAAATACACCAGGTCACTGTTCACCAAGTCGCTGTTCCCTCTCATGGCTGCATCTTACTTCCATAGATTTGGTGATTGTGGTCACATTTTTCCAAAAACACGTCTAATATAACAGCCTACAGTTCTGCGTAGTTTACCTTCAGAGAATATTAGAAAAAGCACCTCCCGTTATTATCGCAGAGTGGCCGAAATGTGCCAAAATTTTCAAAAATAAACGTCTATCTTCTTTTTTTTATTTAAGAAAGCCTGAATGTGAAGACACTTGGTTATATAAACCGTCCATCTACACAGCTAACACATCAAACCCAAAGGAACTTCAGATAGAATTTCAGATGTCAAGTGTCTCTGCAAAGTATGAGAAGTCAAACACGTATTGAGAAGGAGTACATACATAAACGACACAGACTGCTGGAAAAGAACCTCTTTTGGTCCTTTTATAGAAAATGCACATTCTGGTGGACCAGGGCTTTATAAGCAGTCACAAGCTCCACAGATACAACAAGCTCTCCGCAGAGACAGTAAGGCAGTTTTATGATCACCAAGGAAACCATTCCGCTTTCCATATGGCAGGTTTCTTTTTTTGGAAAGAAAGTAAAAAGGAATTGAAACACAAAATACACATACTAGTTGTTGTTAAAGAAAAATAGCTGCCCTGTAAAAATCTGCTCAGTAAAAATAGTCAAACTGTTTTCGTGTGGTTGTTGCTTTTTGTTGTTGGTTTGAATTGTATTCTAGATCAGCTGGCTCATTAAGCTTTCAACAGTTATTGTATTTGATCCAGCTGGATCTCAGGGTAAAAAGAGGCGACATCTCAAAAGCACTGAAGCCAGCCTGCAAAGATGCAGAATAGAGAGGGGGCAAAAAAGACCAACAAAACCCAAACTAAAGCAAACTCACAGAGTTCGACAGCTACTAAGGCAACTTTTGCCAAATACAATATAAGCCCATGTATATTGCAACACAACTATATATTAATTTAATAAAATACACAATATAGCTTTTGTACACATAACAATTTGGCTCAAATGCACAGAAATTGCAGAAAAATCAATAAAAATATGTCAATTTTTTGATGTAAACACATCTAAATTGGATACATTTACACATATAATGATATTATGTATAGTGATAATGTGAAGGGACATTTTCTTGTTTATTTATATTTTTGGATATTTGTCTTCAAAACAATGGCAGTGTCCTTTTCAGTTCATTGAAGCAACGCCCTGCACTTCACCTTAACTGTAGGACACGTTTGCTGAGATTCCTCATTTCTTTTTTTATAAAATGTATAAATATTTTGTTAATATTTGGACACTATACATGGATTCATACATATAGTCATCTATATATTCATATAGATATCCTTTTTTCACAGTTGAGGAAAATGTCCCTTTTTATACAACTCGTGATTGCCTTAAGGCATAGTCACACACATGATAATTCACTGTACACAAGGGACGGAAAGCTGATGATGTACATGTATAAGACAATTACACAGATGGCCAGTTGTGTGTAAGCATAATATGTACTTGTGTGTGTGTGTGTGTGTGTGTGTGTGTGTTTGCGTAGGGGCATCAGTGCATGTGTATGCGTAACAGTGTAGTGCACATGTATAAAATAGGTGTGTGCAAGTACACCGCTCTGCAACATGAACGTTTAAATAGAGGCGTGAGAAAGACACAACTTACACATGTGGCTACAGATGACAGGTGAAACATGGTCACACTGTTTTATAATTCTCCTTCAGCAGAGCATTACAGCTCGTCCAACCCCCAAGTCCATAACCGACCCTTGTGAACATACCCCTGATTAACCAATCTCTTCATGTTAAGATACAGGATCCATCACACATTTAACACCAATATTAAAGTCAGAAAAGATAAGGTTGCTTGTGTATTTTGGTCTTTCAATGTCCCAAGTAGATTAGAATTAGTTTCTCTGTTTCCGTGCCGATTGTCATGTCTGACCATAGTTCTTTTTCAGTCAGTTTCTATGGCCATCACACATAACAGAAAACCGTCTATACACACTCAGATATGTAGGATTTCACGAGAGACCATGAACAACACACTTATGAGCTGGTGGGCACTTAGATAATAGCTTGCGAGGTGCCAGAGGCATAAGCCTCTGCAGTTTGCTTAAGAATCCAAAACAAAAAAGAGTTTATAAATTCAGCAGAATTCAGATGTTTGTAACCCAGTTCTTTTTTGTTGGTTGGGATCTTTACACCAAAACCGGTGCAAAATGATTGACATAACAAATGTTCCAATCCTCTGTCCAGTGTCGTTAATTTTCGACAACAAATAGCGTGAAAAGAGCTCCTTTCAGAGGAGCCATTCAACCTTTTGATTTGTTTTGGTGACAGTTTTGTATGAGAGTTTTTAGAATAGCATCCTATTCCTCTCTCCACCTCCCATTTTTGTTTTTTGCAGTCCTCTGTGTCACTTCCTGAGTGTGCCAGTGGCCTCACTTCCTCTGCAGTCCTGCAATAGCTTGTCGATGTCTCTCACCACCTGGTCAGCATCCATTCCGTCACGATTTGCGTCAGGCTCCATCTGCTCCATGGGACACTCCATTTCACCTGTAGCCTCTTGGCTGATCCTGGAGCGCGCCTCGGCAAGCACCTTGGCCACTGGGTCTGAGGGCGGCAAGGGTGGGTAGACCCCCTGGTCTCTGGTTTGTTTGGTTGGGGACAGGTACTGACCATCAGGAGGGCCGTAGTGGCCAGAGCACGAGGCGGGAGGAGGTTTACCTTCAGCTCCGTCAGCTGGGCTTTTGATTGAGGAACAAGGAGATGTGGTGGAGCAGCCCTTTGTAGGACTGCTGGAGGCTGATGGTACCTCTTGGAGCAGTGGGCTAAGGGCCCGTTTCGCCTTCAAGTAGGGCTTGACATTGGCAACCAGAATAGTGTGGTCACGTCTCTCTTTTCCAAATGTACAGAATGTCTTCTTGCCATTGGGGTTGACAGTCTCATAGGTTTCTGTCTCGGGAACAGTCTCCATCCCTGCTGGCACAAACATATTGTTGCGGTAGTCAATGCCCTCCGCCTGGTTTCCTCCTGTAGGGAACTGGGGCATCCAGCAGCGGTCAGAATGACCCAGTACCCGGCACTCCTCTGTACAATTCACACAATCCTCATCTGCAGATGGAATAAAAAGGGAGGGGAGATAAAGAAAAGATTGAATTAATGTCGGTAGTGTGCATAGAATAAAAGTAAAAGCACACAGAGAGAGGGAGACAGAATCATAGCACTATTATGAAACTGAACCGTACAAAGAGTCCAAAGTTAGGGAAGTAGCGCCAAATGAAATGGTTTTGAAAAGGAAAGAACCAGCTCAGGATGTCCCATTCCACACACAAGTGGGCATGTACACAAACACACACACAACTACACACACACCTTTTTGGGGGACTGGGGGACTCCTGCTAGCATTTTCCAAAGCTCTGATCAAGGGGATGGCAGAGCATACAGAAAGGATGGAGAGGGAGCGAGAGAAAAACAACCACAGTTGAGGTTTGGCAAAGGCATAGTGCCGTTATCATAAATTCATGTCAGTGGGCTTTGAAGCCCTCCCTAGACAGACAGACAGTGCCAAATGGTTTGTGCTTCTTCCCTGTGTGTTTGAGCCTGTTTATTTGCGGGCTCCTTCTTGTTGTGTGTGTGTACGCATGTGTGCATAAGTGTGAGTGTGTGTGTTCCCCTCTTTCATCTCTATTCAGAAGGCTGCACACTCTGGCTGATTATGGGAGTGTTCATGCCTGTGTCAAATGGATCCAGAACTTGGTTAGAAAAAATAAAAATAAAAAAATAAAAAGAGGAGGATATTTTTTTTCTCCTCTTGGGCATGAAGTGAAAACCAGAAAAAATGGAGCATCTGTTGTCCCACAAATGGAATTTTTCCATTGGCTGAGTGGGATGAAACCAAGAGAAGCCAACCAGCAGCCACACAGTAAAGATTACACAAATGAAATTTGTACAACTCATTCTTGTTTCTCTTTCCCTTATTTGACAACGGATTAAACTGTAATTGGTCCTTGAGAAAAAAAATGCTCTTTAAAATGTTGTTTTAAATCTGACATTGACACAACTGTCAAATGGGCAAAAACAGAGGATTTGCAAAGGCTACACATCTCAGTGTGTTGCATTTTAAAAAGTTGGTTTAGTCAGTCTTTCTTATCAAACACAATTTTTTGTCCAATTGAATATCACCTCAAGGTCCACTTACTGTCTGTTCTCTGTGCACTGAATAAAATCAGGTGTTCTGACACAGCCCTGGCTCTGTGAATGGAAAATTTGAAAAAGCGGCTTGGACCAAGCTGCCCAACAACGATGCAGTCAACTGGCAAAAATGGGCATTCGTGCTCGAGCACAAGACAAAAAAATAAAAAGAGAAGAGGGTGGGGGGCGCACATGCTAACAGATAACTCTAATTTAAGAATTACCAGGGGAAGGAAAAAGAACAGTCAACCCTTCTGTCACTGCCAGACCATGTGGATTTTTGGATGGGACTGATTAGGACTGCAATAGAGAGATCTGCAGTGGTGTTAAGGCGAGTGCATGGAAGGAATGCAGAGACTGACAGGCTGGTAACAACTTTATGGATGCGCAGTGGACCACTTGACCGCCCACCAACATTTCTCTCAATAGTCGTGATTGCCAGTCAGTTGACTGCGGGAGACCTCAGAGAGTTTAGCAGCATGAAGACGGATGCAAAGGTTGCTCTGTTTCTGCTCAACAGTTGGATTACAATTGTTTAGCTACGTTTCCTAGAATCAATGCATCAGTTTGTTTTGTCCCATTTGCTGATGTTTGTGAAAGCTAATGCCCACCAATGCCTCCCCTCAGCATATTCTCTTTGCAGGAGCAGTCCTGTTATATTTGTTTGTACAATGTACAAGTGGTTTCACAGCAGCAAAGATTCCAAACACCTGTTTGATATCAAATTGGGATTATTTGGGTGCATAATTTGATAAACTGGATTGTGTTGTTGCCTTAGCAACACCTCTCCAAGAATTTGGTAGGGTGGAGCTTCTGAAATAAGGGGGGTATGCTTGTTTTGCTGTGAGTTTAAATATCAACAGGCTCTGTACGAAATTACTCACTCCACCTTTGAAGAAATATGAAGTTCACAGGTTAGACAAACCCCAGAATGCAGCAGCACACCAGCCACTAACACCGCTCCCAGGTTAAATCCAAAGGTTGCTTGCACAGACTTCTAAACAAATAGAGCAGCAAAGGCTAATTTGCATATTGGTTTTGACTCGTGTGATGCATCTTTGCTTGTTTGTGGAGCCCAACGCTGCAGACACGCAGCAAACCTATTATTTCAATGCAACACAGATTGCAACAGGACTGATGCAACTTTCCCTCTTAAAAGGAATAAAGCTAGTCTACTCATAGGACCTTAATATCTGCATTATTGATGTTTTTATAGCCCAAAGAAAGTGTCTGTAGCAGAAGTGGCACAAAGCAATATTTGAGTTAAGCAGTCAGATATATGCATTTATAATTAACACAAAATAGGCTCTCACCCTCCCCACTGAATGTTAATGGTTTAAACCTTGATTCCTTGTGATGAATCTTCAACCTCATATAGAGTATGTTATGAAAAACACATTTTAAATTAGTGTAATTTATCTTCCTGTAACAAGCCTGTTGTGGTTTGGAGTCTGAATCCGAAGCCGGCAGGTGTAAATTTTGAAAGAAATGTTTACACAGGGATTGAAAATGTTCTCTTAGGCTTTGCTTGTATTAAAGGCAACATTATAAAAGGAGCTGGAATGAGGCTACTCTGAGCCGTAAACTGTTTCCACCATCATTCCCAACCAAATGTGAGAAGGCAACATTACTGTTCGGATCTGTAACGCCACCCCATCAATTACATTATGGGATGCATAGACCTTTGCAGAATGGCCAGAGTGCTGCTTTAAAGACCACAAACTTGGGACTAATACAATCTTTTCGTTGATGCGAATAAGCAGACAGAGTGGCTGTGCTTGAGTGCACTTGGCTAGGTCTGTCTTTGCTGTGTTGCGGGTCATCAGCCTAGATTCCTGAGAGAGTGTCCTCCTAAGCTGTAGCGATGAGCTTAACACTTCACAAATGTTTGAAGAAGCCAAACAGCGCTGGCAAAGAGAGGCTGACATTTCCCGTGTCGAGGCAGTCAACTGAGGAGGAAATAAGGTTGAGCTGGACAGCAGTAGTCCAGTTTGATATGGACTACATTTAAATGGTGTGGGAGTGAGCGAATGCATTTGACACGACACGACTAAACAACATGTCAGTGCAACAAGATCGATGATTTGGTCGAGAGCATGTACATAAATAATACAAACCTGAATACACTCTGCGACCAGAACACGCTATTACTGTAATCCATCACCGAGCCACGAAGTATAAACCCAACATGTAACCAAGCTCAGCAGCCAGACGTCCGCTGCCTTTCACACAGCCCAGCTTGCACGCGTTCCAGACACACAATTAACTTGGCCCCTACAATTTCTTCATGCTCTCAGAGGTGATTGTCCATTCACTGTGTGCATATTAAAGCATAAATAATCCATGCAGACATATTTCCCTCTATTTAGTTGGAGGAAACCTATGATAGATTATTCATGTCTCAAGCTGCACGTTCAACCTTGAGGCGTTCTCCTCATATCTATGGCTAACAATATGACATATGAGAGCAAGGGTGACATTCACCTCCCTCTCTCCCTCCCTCTCTCTTCAGCATGGTTCCACCAGCTCTCTGCGATGGGCCTCCACCAAGGACAAATGAACCTGCAATGATTTGGCTAACAGGGGCGTGCTCAGTCGCTTCCTCTCCAGTTTCTTTCATTCTCTGGTATATATGATCCAAGATGAATTCTCCCGATAGATATGCTCTCAATGAAGGCAATCATTTGTAATGTTTTGTTTCATCGCTCAGTCAGTGACTTGATATGGTACAATGATGAAACACACAAATAAAAACACCATTACTCATCATTGGATAATATAAAGTAAATCATTAAGAAAAAGAATCATCACACTAACTACATGCTGTCCTGTCACTTCAGTATTTTATGATGGAGTCCTGTAAGTGAATGTCCTCAATCTATCATGATATTATTTTTTAGTTTTTGCAACATTATTATTTTTAGCTTTTGGCTAAAATCCAAAATATTTGACAAAACCTGAAGATATAAATCTGTGTTTACAATGAGGAAACAGCTTTTTTATCTTTCAATGTTCACTCTATCAAGTTTATCATCTTGGGTACTGTTATTGCATAGCTAAAGAAAACATTTTTTGATCTTACATACAATCTTAGGAAAGGAAAGTTTATAACCACAATGGCTCTGAATGGTAACAAATGGGAAAGGACGATTTGGATTACTCATAATAGATAAAGTGTAAAAGGTACCACGGGCCAAGATCTGGAACCTCGGAGGTGGTTTCTGTCTAATTCAAACCGAGCAATGATTTGATTTGTTTTTAATTTGAAAACCCTTTTTTGGATAGGTTAGACTTTCAGACAACAGCAGGACATTGAGACAGAAAAATGAGGCAAAAGTGGCTTACAGAATTTCTTGAGGTCTTGGTCTCTGATGGTATATTTGAAGGATGCAGATTTTCAATGGGTGCATTTGAACTTAAGTCAAGTACTGCACCTGAAGTTGGTGATGCTGGCAGTAATAGCCTGATGGAAATTCAGAGACAGTGTAATGAACCAAATGAACCATTTCATCCATTATCTCCTTTCAAACAGAAAGACAACTACCCGCCGAATTGGCAACACGCCAATGTCAAACCAATATAAATCAAGTGTAGGTGGACGCATAGCTGATCACAGCTACAACAGGACATACTGTAATAATAATAACTGTAATAATGTGGAGAACTCCCTACATTACAATGCGAAACAAAAATGGATCAATTGCAAACAATGTAACAAAGACATGAACCATTGTTCGGAACTTGGTCTGGTGAAGTAAAAAATATTTCGCTTCAGTTCCGAGTGTCAGGTTTGTTGATGTTTCCATCTTCGCAGCTCCGTTCTAGACACTTGACTCTTATTCCTGATTGGAATCAGATGTTTACTACACATCTATTACCAGCAAAAAGTTTAATTAATTCCACGTAATCTTTTGCACTTG